TGATTAATACCAAATCTACTGACATTTTTATTCACTGTAAATGTGTTTGTTTTTTATATATCAACGTTATCTATATTTTATATTTATATATCAGCTCGAGGCATAACTAGGACCACCTCTAGAGCATTTCCAAGACTTTTCTGGAATTATGGATGATGTTTCTGATGCTTTCACGCGCATTACCCCAAAGTACTATGCCGTATGTCCAAACATTGCTTTAATAACTTTAAACATTTATTTTCTCAGAGATAAACACATTGATACTATCACAAAAGCAGCTTATAAATTAAGCAATCATCTATTGGATATTGTGAATGCAACCAAGATTTACACAATGGTACCATCATGGGGTTACAAGGATCCAAATTCTGTAGGAGGATGGAACGGAATGCTTGGACAATTGCATCGAGGAGAAGCAGATATAGGTTTATAATTATTTAATAAATATTACATTACTATTTATCTCTAGCAAATATTATTATTAGGTACTATATAAAATACACATTTCTTTGTAGGTACTCCATTATTTTTGACTACTGATCGAGTGTCATTAATTGAATATATATCTATGACCACACCGACCCAGGCAAGATTTGTGTTCAGGGCTCCTCCTTTAAGTTATGTCCAAAACTTATATCTTCTTCCATTTGATCGAGGTGTATGGCTCGCTAGTCTGATTTTTATCCTTTTAATGATATTTGTTATTAGTTGTACATCAATGCTAGAAACAGATGTGAGTACAGAGGTATCTTTATAATCAATTAATTCTTAATAAGAAGAATATATTCTAGGAGAATACAGGAGTTTGGATAACAGTAAGCAATTCTTTCCTATTGTCATTGGGAGCAATATGTCAACAGAGTCCCCCTAAAAGTCCAAGATATCCTGCAGGAAGAATAGTTACTTTATTTTTATTTGTGGCTGTTATGTTTCTATATACTTCATACACCGCTAATATAGGTAAGTAACTTAATAAAACTATGTAATTAAATAAACTTGCTACTCTTTCCAGATTCGATAATTTTGTTCATCATAGTCAAAATATTTTTTTATATTGATCAACATTTCAAGCTGACTCTCGGCAGAGAGCATTGTTTTTGAATTTTTAAAATTTTTAACATTGTTTATAATTTTTTTTAATACTTTTTCGTTAATTTAATGACAATGCTAGCAGAAAACTTCCAAATATTTTTTAAATTTTCAACTCACAATGGCTAGTACTGCCTTATATTTAGAGCAGGTGGGTGAGTTGAGTTAAACTCTAACTCGATTGAAGGAAAACTAGTGTGAAAGATTTCCCATTGACGTCTCACATCGCAGTGCTCGAAATGGGCTATTTTCAATTGGAAACATATTTATAACTTTCCGTATGGTAAGTTATAGTAATGACCGAAAATCGAAAAAGAAAATTTATGCATATCTTCACGTTTCAAAGGTTTCTGAACATTTTGGCATACCTTAGAAAAATTGATGTGTGTGTGTGTGTTTATGTGTGGATACATTTTTCTGTCGACGATTTCGGGCGCACGGATCAACGGATTTGAATGACTAAAAAAATATTCGATTCTTATTGATGGGGAGACGTGCTGATTAGTTTTTGGCATACGAAACAAAGATTGCAGAAAATAGAGATCGAGTTCTTGAGAGAACGGAGTATCCGATTTGGATGATCGAAAAAAAAATAATTCGTACTGAAGGAAAGAAGTGGTGATTAGTTTTTGGCAAAGACAGATCCAGTCATTTTGGAGATACGGAGCTAAATGTGCAAAAAATGTCAGTTTTTGAGAGAACACAGCATCCGATTTGAGTGATTCAAAAAACCCTGTTCTCGTGTTGACGAAACAATTATTTTTGAATTTTTTTTTTAATTTTCAATTGTTTTTTTTAATATCAAAAATAATTCGGAATTTACTTCTAAATCTAGCTGAAATTCTAAAAAATTCTAGAAAATTGCAAAGAATGGTTTGATCATATGTTCAAACTTTAAATAATAATAAAGTCAAACCGTAATGTTTAATTTTTAAACAAATCTGTTGCAACTCATGTTTATTAATTAAACAAAATTAATATTTTTGAATAATGTTTTTTTTCAAACCAAGTTTGAATTATGAAGAAAAACTGGCCAACGGTCTTTTGAAAACACAAATACTCTCTGAAATGCTTGGCTGATTCATTTTATAGACTAATAAAACTACTATGATATCTTATCGATATCTCTCTAAAAATAATTAATTTTTCAAAAACAACTAGAGTATTTTACTATCTTTTAAGTAAACTTAGAAATAACTGATATTTTTCTATGTTAATTAAAAAAAAACTGTTCTATAGATCAACAGAAATCTAATAATCAAAAAGTCTCTGCAAGTAGGATTTTCGTTTGGTAACCAAATATAATATATACCTTCCGGAAATCAATAAAAATTACTTTTGACAGAATATCTTTCATACATATTTTTATGATTTATAATAGAATACCAACCACTTTTGCAAAAGAATTGTTTCTATGGCCTTATTTCAAATAGCTATGCATTATCCCAATACATTTATATTATAACTATTTATGAATACAACACAATACACAATATACAATACACAATACACAATATTTTATATAAAATTATTATAATATTAATTACTATAATTATATTTTATTAGTATCTTTGCTGCAAGCTCGAACCTACAGTATCAGAACACTCAAAGATTTACTCAAATCTCCATTAAAAATCGGAGTTGATGACATTGTTTATAATCATTACTACTTTTCGGTAAAAATTCAAAATTGCAATTATTTTTGGTCTTACTTAGATTTGGTCTTAACTATAGTAGTTAATAAGGTCATATTTGTAGACAGCAACTGATCCAGTTCGGAAGGAAATTTATGAGAAAAAAGTTGCTCCGAAAAATAAAAAACCAAACTTTTTCAGCCAGCAAGATGGTATTAATAAAATGAGACAGGTAAGAGTACAAGCATTTATATTCTGTTTTTTTTTTTAGAAAATTACATTTTTTTTATGAATAGGGTTTATTTGCTTTCCATATGGAACGTGGTGCCGGATACAAAGTTGTATCAGAAACATTCTACGAAGATGAAAAGTGTGGTCTAATGGAAATAGATTTTTTGAAGTTCAATGATCCATGGATGCCGGTGCAGAAACGTTCTCCATACAAGGAAATCTTCAAAGTAAAGTTAGTATAATATTGAGATTGATGAAATTTTATTATATTTTATTACATTTAAGTAAAGTATGACTAAGTTTTGTATCCTTTTGAAACTGTAGGAGAAAATATGCGTTTGAAATATATTTTTGATCCAAAACTAATTTAGCTATGTAACCAAAAGATTCGGTTGGTATTAACTTCCTAAAGAAAAAGTTTATGTATTTGACGAAAAATTCAATTTACTATTTTCTTGATCTCTCAAGTCATTCTGAATCAAATCAAAATTGGATAAACTATATTTGTACCATCTGAAGTTGCTAAATCTCAATAATTATTCATTTTTTAAGCATACTGGGAACGAACGACTTACACCTAGTACCTATATTTATTCTCCATTGATGAAATTTATCTTTAGTTTTTAAATCAACGACTATAAATAGTGGCATTATGCCTTAAGGCAAACTGCAAGAAATTTTCGATAGGTATAAACATAAAACACTGAATAAATAGCAATTGAGATTAAGGTAATTAAGTTGTGCAATTGCTTTTTTGGAAATAAATTTTTTGCTTTTCCTTGAATCTAAATAATGCGATTTTTTTATATCTTTTAAACATGCTTATTATATCTGTAATTGTATAAATTAAATTAATTTGCTTAACACGTAATGTATTTTATTTGAATGTGGACGTCAACTGTAATCAGTAGATATCTACGAAACATGAAACGTACATATTTGCTTGGCATATATTCTGATCAGAATCTTTTTTCCAAACTTTGATGATTTTTTATAATTCAATTGCTTTTTGTAGGCTGTTTGTAGGCTTATAATATTTCAGTAGAACATTTTTATATATTTTATTTACGTTTCGAAGGTTTGCGAACATTTTGGAATACCTTAGAAAAATGGATGTATTTGTGCGTGTGTATGTGTGAGTGCGTGTGTGTGTATGTGAGTGCGTGTGTGTATGTATGTATGTGCAGATACAATTTTTCGTCGACGATTTCGAGAACACAGATCAACCAATTTGAATGATTCAAAAAACAATCGATTCCTATTGATAAAGAGATATGCTGATTAGTTTTTGGAAAAGGCAGGTACAGTTATTCCAAAGATACTGGACAAAAAGAGCGTCCCATTTGAATTTGAAGTCCGATTTTGAAGAGCTGAGGAAATTTTTGGGAAGACAGGTCTAGCGGTTTCGGTGATCTAATAAAAAAAGTGAATAAAAATGCCATTTGGCGGATTAAAATGATCATTAGACATATGCCCATCAAATTATCATATATTTTACAGATATTTTAATAATGAAAACATTTTTTTTTACATTTCTATGGGTTCCGTACCAATGTTTATTCGTTATACTGCAATGCGGCGCCCACGCGCATCTATATTTTGTTTCTCCGCAGCCGTTAGCTTTTGCGATTTTGCAATTCCAAAATACTTCAAAGTATAAGAAAATCAAATTTTTCACAAAGGTCATTTTTTTTGAAAATTTTTAAAAATTTCCTTAAGCCCTAACGATGCAATGCATCTCTAGTTCAACTTTGGCCTCATGCGATCAGAATGACTTGAAATGTCGAAAACACATCAAATTGGCATTACGGTTACGGATTTTCTGGTATAAGCATATATTATCCTTCGAGAAGTTAAAAATATTATCGTAAATAAACTATAATCCATCGAACAATATAAAATTAATATTTCCACAATGCAAAATTATCGAACCATTAACCTTTCCGTAACGCGGCATTGTTTCATTAGTGCTACCTGGAGGAAAACACATCGTGCCTGCATTTTGCAACTTGTTACAAAATCCATCCGTGGAGCAACATGCATAACGATATCCAACCGTTGCTCGAGCGTGGTGCAACCGGCCTTGGATAGCACCTAATATAACTTTTATACATTAATTAATTCACGAATGTGTATTTTAGCATGTTCAAAATACGAGAAAGTGGAATACAATCTCGTGAAATAGCACTGCATTACACCAAGAAACCAGTTTGCACTACTGGGGGTGCTAGTTTCGTTAGCGTGGGATTAGTCGACTGCTACTTCGCAGGATTTCTACTCGCTGCCGGAATTGCGATCTCTATATGTATATTAGTGATTGAATTATTGAGTGGTTCGTGCCGAATCAAAACTGATGATGTCAGGTGAGATAACGAAAAAATATGTTACACTCATCTTGTATTTCGTCAATGATTTGTTGCCTATTTCAGTCAAAATAGTGAACTAACAACTAATGACACAAACAGAGTAAATGAAAATATACATTTTTTGGAATGAGAATGTAGTATTAAAAGATAAAATATTTCAAGAATAAATAAATAACCATGTACTAGCTGGCATATTTTTAGATGATATAATAAAAAAATATTTTTAAAATTCATTAAATATTAGAGTTTTATAAATGTTAATACTCGGTGTTCTGCACTCATAGATAAGAAAAAAATATATCAAGTTTGCAAAGTACAGTTATTTTTTATATTTTATATTGTATTCATTATTTTGTACATATTATATTATATTGAATTTTTTTATTATATTTTTTCCTATAAGATGTTGGTCTGAAGCTTCTCCTTACGTCGTATTTTTAGATGGTAGCTCAACGGTTAATCCATATTTGATTATTAACTTCCCTTAGGGTGAGTTATAGTAATGGGCCGAAAATTGAAAATGCTACCATGGATAAAAACCCAGCGTTTTAAGTCGTTCTGAATCGTTTGATGCAAAAAATAAAAAAGTATGTATGTGTGTAGGTGAGCTAAAATAGGATAATTAGGCAACATTTTCTCAAAAAGTGCTGTCAACTTTATTTAAAAACTCATATTGATTAGTTTTGTATATCTTCATGTTTCAGAAGTTTTTGAACATTTTGGCATACCCTAAAAAAAATGGATGTGTGTGTGTATGTGTATGTGTGGAGACAATTTTTTGTCGACGATTTCGGGCGTACGGATGGACCGATTTGAAAATTCTAAAAGCAATCGATTCCTATTGATAGGGAGATATGCTGATTAATTTTTGAGGAAGACAGGTCCAATGGCTTCCGAGATATGAAGCAAAAAGTGCTAAAAAAAGTCAGTTTTTAAGAGAACGGATCAATCGATTTGAATGATCTAGAAAACGTTTGATTCGTAATGATGGGAAGAAGTGGTGATTAGATTTTTGCAAAGGCAGGTCCAGTCGTTACTAACTCAATGTGTCCACCTAAATGTTCAAGAAATGGCGGTTTTTGAAATCGCAATTCAGCGTATCAATCAATCAGCAAGCATCCAATTTAAATGACTCAAAAAACTTTATGATTGTATTGACGAAACGATTACTTTTGTGAAAAGAATTTTTTTATATCATTTTTTCAATTTTTATTCTAGCTAAAATTCTAAACATCATTTATATAATTCAAATGAATGATTTTAACAATTCAGTTCATATAATACTTAGAAATAGAAGACAATGTTCTTCATTTTAAATCCGATTGATTAAGTTTTGTTTATTTACTTTTTATAAAATAAGAATAATGAAAGTTACATTATTTATAATAAGCTATTTGAAAACATTCAATATTTCTAGAATATTTTTTTAAGATACGGGAATTTCCAGCAATTTGCCTTAGGGCACGATGCTACACACCACTAGTTTTAGTATTAGGATTTATTTAATAGAGATGTTTTGACTTATTTAAAATCTGTTGGGAAATATATTTAAAATCTATATTCCCAAGTGAAAATTGATATCGCAACTGCTCGATATCAAGGTTGTTCAATATTAAAATTTAATGGAACTATTGTAACTGTATAATATATTTAAAACAAGGAATAACATCAGTGAAAATAATATTGGTTAACACAGGTATAGATTATTTTCTTTTTGATAGTGGTTTGAATATGCTTAAACTTTTTTTATCAATTTGCGAAAAAAAACGAAAAAATATTAAAATAATAGAGTATAATATATTCCAATTTATAGATCAATAAAACTCGTGGCAATTTTTGAATTTTTCTAAGTTTTTATACTTTTGGCAGATTTACAATTTTAGTTCGTTTCATGATTTTAATGTGTGAACGAATTGGTGTTTCAAGAATTGGAAGTTCCAATAATTTGGCTTCAGGCATAATGCCATCTGATGCCATCCATAATAGCATTTATACCTATTCACATTATAACAATTTTATAAGCTTTTGTAGGTAATGAGTTTAAATTCATAGTATTAAAAAAAAGTTCATTGACACGTCGTCATGCAGTCTATATGATCCGGCTGATCTTTATCAGAAACTGATCAGCAAGACCAATATAGTATTTTTTGAGCTTTTAAATTTTAAACCTAGTCTAGAATTTTTTGCGAAAACGTGAATGAAATATTTTGCAAATTTCTGTTATTTATAATGTAACGGCTCGGTGATTATTGCACACATAGATAAGGAAATTGCACATAACTAATCAACGACTAGTCTCCATCTATTTTCATCAAATGACTTTTGAAGTTTTAAAATCGGCGCCGTCGAAAACGTCAACGTAAGTTGAGATTTTGACCCACAACTACGCAAATGGAGAAAATATAAAATTATCAAATCGGTTTTGTTGGTAAAAATATAAAAAATTTCTATATTAAAAATATAAAAACTAATCAAATATAAATAAATTCATTTTATTTATTTCTTGTTCTAAAAATGTATTTTATTGAAGCGTGGTGGTTAACTGTAATCAGTAGCCACCTACAAAACATCAATGAACGTAGGAACGTAATGCTTAGGAATATTTCTAATTATAAACTTTGATAAAATTGTATAATTCAACTGCTTATAGCAAGCCTTTAATATTTTAGTTTGTTTTCCAGTTTCATCAACAATGTCAAAAATTGTTTTAGATATTCAATTACAAAGAAACGGCCCAGTCGATCTATATCAAAAACTATTTAACGCGATACCTAAGTAATATTTAAGGAACATGTTTACTGCCACGTATTTATATAATTTATGATTAAACTCTTTTTCGATAACTCAGGTTGTTGGGTTATAATTTAACTCTTGTAGCTGTGAACTGTATAAAACACTGATTTGTTTGTATATTATATATTTGTTGCAGTTTTTATTACAACCACTGATTTGTCTCTAAGTTCTAATTGAAGATGATATATTGATTTATTATTTATTGAACATGTTGTTGCGCGGAATTTACTTCTAGAAGTAGACAATTTGTCCCATTAAAACTTTCTGCTATCCAGGGATAGCAACCATCCCATGTAAAAGCTCAATGCCATTAAGATTGTTACTTTTATGAAACATTAAAACATTAAAACAGTTTTTAACATCCACACGAAAATAAGATACATTTTTTGAATAAGAAATGGATGAAACTAAATTATTTATATTAGTGATTGTTTATATTATATTAGTGTTAAACAAATTAAATTAATTGATACAATTAAAGATATTATGAGCATGATTGAAAGGCATGACTGAAACATTTTCTGCTAATTACAAAGAAACTAGGCTAGTCGTTGCACAAACCTGGTAAACACTAGACCAAATCGAGTTACATCGAATGGCTTTTAAATGCTTAAAATCGGTCCAACCATTTTTGAGAAAACGTCGACGTCGGAAATCGGCTCATATAAACACATAATTTTCCAAATTTGGTTTCATTAGATTCAGAATGGTTTGAAACGTAAACTTCTCCTTCGGGTAGTTAAAATTTACTATGATTTTCAAAAAGGCATTTAAAAAATTTCAAATTTCCGTATTTATTAATATTCTAAAGCACCCATTAATACTTCCATAACACATGTTTGCAGAAATAACAATCATCAGTGTTTAGGATTGAATCAATCTATCATTTCAAATACGCCGCGCATTTGCTGGTACGACTGCAGCGCCGCCGCAGCGAATCGAGTGTAGCGTCTATATTATGTTGTTTGTATACCTATGGTTTACATCATGTGAGTTTCAAAATTGCACAAATGTCAAAATGAATGACGTTTATTTGTGTCACAGTGACGCTTCAAATCATTGATTCATAGCTGCCAAAAAAAGATTCGAAACAGAATTCATTTTTGATAATACGTTTTTGTTCTAGTAATCAAAATTTAATTGTTTACTACACCGTACTTAACCACAAACAGTGCAAAGTTGATAATTATAACAAGTGTTTATGACCTAATACAAAGCAATTGAAATCGATTCGTAATTAACAAAACAAACAAAATTTCAATGATTGTTCACCCGGTGACCCAGTAACTTGTCTATCCCGGTATATCACTGTAATTCAAAAGCAGGGTCAGCAGACAAATGGAGTAATATTGCAATAACCATATTACATATATACGCAATGTTCTTTACTTTCACATTTTGTAATATGCCGCGGTTATTGCGAAAGACTCCGCTAACAGATCGCTCAGTTGTCTGATAGCCTCGAAGCTGGATGCATCGCGGATATTTCCAATATTATTCTCAAACATGTGATTAGTAGAAAATGATTAGTGTACCGGTGAATTGAAACAGTGAATTAAATGGATATCAAATTTTATTGCAGCAGTTTGCAATTTAGTATGTTTTATGGAGAGGATTTATTAAATTGAGAAAAATGGGAGCATTATCATCAATGTTTGTATCAATGACGGACATCGCAAATTCTGTAACGATAATATGCGTTTTGTTCAGTTTGTTTGCTATGGCACTACTTTTTATGAAGTAAGTTCACATTTCAATATATTAAATGAACTATATAACATTTAATATTTTTATCAATATTAAAAGAACTATTTGTGATCAATAAAATTATGATAATTAATCTGTCACGTTCATAATTATATCTTATGCTCATTAACAATTCATGTTCAATTCTTGATCCCTAAATTCTATGACATTCTATTTATCTTGAATATTTAAGTATTTTAATTATTTTACTCTATAATTAACTTCCCGTAGGGTAAGTTATTGTAATGGGCCGAAAATCGAAATTGAAAATTTTTACATTTCTCGACGTTTTGAAGGTTTCTGAACATTTTGGCATACTTCAGAAAAAAATGGATGTGTGTGTGTGTGTGTTTAAGTATGTATGGATACAAATTTCCAATCACGTTTTCGGACGTACGGATCAACCGATTTGAATTGTTCAAAAAACATTCGATTCCTATTGATAGGGAAAGGAGCTGATTAATTTTTGGCAAAGGCAGGTCCAGCCGTTTCGAACATACGGAGCAAAGAATGCAGAAAATAGAAATCGAGTTTTTGAGAGAACGGAGTATCCGATTTGAATGATCTAAAAAACATTCAATTAGTAATGATTGGGAGAAGTATTTATCAGTTTTTGGCAAAGGCAGGCCCAACCATTTCGAAGATACGAAGCTAAATATGTAAAAAATGGCAGTTCTTGAGAGAACTAAGCGTCCGATTTGAATGATTCAAAGAACTTTCTGCTTGTCTTAACAAAATAATTGATTTTGGAAAAAAAAATTGTTCCAATTTTTTTTTTCAAAAAAATTTTTTTTTGTATATCAAAAATAATTCAGATTTTATTTTTAATTCTGACTAAAGTTCTAATAAACTTTAAACAAATAATTTCAACTTTGCAATTCAGTTTATATAATTCTTATAAATATTAGACAATGTTACAATATTTATAATAATCTATTTGAAAACATTCAGTATTCCTCGAACATTTCGTTACGGTACGGGAAGTTCCAGCAATTTGCCTTAAGGCACGATGCCATACACCCCACTAGTTAATATTTGTATTGCTTGAAAACTTTCCTTTTCATCGATTTATCCTGGAACAAATTCCAATGAATCATCTATTATGAAATATGATCCCTATAGAAATTATTATTGTCAGTATAAAAAATCAAGCTATTGATTATATTTTTTACTATAAATATGCAAGATAACTAGTGGGGTGCATGGCATCGTGCCTTAAAGCAAATTGCTGGAACTTCCCGTATCGTAATTAAAAATCTTGGTACGGAACCCAAAAAAAAATACACAAAATGTGTACACATTATTAAAATCTCTATAAAATATCTGATAATTTAATGTACATATGTCCAATAAACATTTTTGACCGCCAAATAACATTTTTTTAACTTATTTTTATTGAGAGTCTATAACCGCTGGACCTGTCTTCCCCAAAATTTAATCAGTTTTTCATTTTATCAATACAGGTAAATTTTTTTGAATTATTCAAATCGGTTGACCAGTATCGACGAAAATTTGTATCCGCACACACACTCTCACACATACATCCATTTTTTCTAAGGAATGCCAAAATGTTCAGAAACCTTTGATACGTAGAGATATACAAAAATTTTCATTTTCGATTTTTTTTTGCGATTACTATAACATACCCCACGGGAACTTAAAAATATGTGGTGTTCAAAACAGTTCTTAAATTGCAACTTAAACAAGTCAATGTCAAATCTATTGATATTGAAAATTTGAAAAACACCTGTGCAATGTTATTTCTTTTTGTAAATATACTTGTTAGTTTGAAATGTGTATTCTTTAAAATATTTGATTAGTGGTCCATGGCATTGTGCTTTAAGGAAATTGATGGAACTTTCCATACCATAATATAAAATGATTAAAAGTTTTATTTCTTTTAAATATCGAAAAAGAAAAATTAGAATTCAAGTAATTTTTTTGAAAATCTTGATTTTTATTTCATCATTTATTTAAAAATTTGGTTACAAGTTACTGTTAAACATTATAAATCTAGGGAAGAAACCCATAGTTTGTTTTATTAAAATCTGTATGAAATATCTGACAATTTGATATGCATAGATTATTTTTAACCACCAAACGGCATTTTTTTAAATGTTTCTTAATAGATCTCCGATAACCCTTGACCTGTCTTCAAATATTTAACCCCTTTTTATTCCGTCAATACAACTGAAATGTTTTATAAATCATTCAAATCGGACGGGTTATCTCAAAAACTGAAATACCATTTTTTGTACTTTTTGCCCCGTATTTTCGAAATAGCTGCACCTGCATTGGTCAAAAATTAATCGGCACGTCTCCGCATCAACAGGAATCGAATCATTCAGTTGATTCGACATCGTTGACAAAAAATTGTATCCAATCATACATATACATACTACACATACGTTTATCTATTTTTAACTTCCCGAAGGAGAAGTTTATGTTTTCATCAAAAAACCCGATTCGCTAATTTTATGTTTTCTCGACGTTTCAAGCCATTCTGAATCGAATGAGACCAAATTTGGAAAAAGTATGTGTGTGTGTGTGTGTGTGTGTGTGTGTGTGTGTGTGTGTATGTGCACAGATTTTTTGCCGTAAATCGACGTTTTCTCGAAAACGGATGGACCGATTTCAAAAATTTAAAAGCCATTCGATGTATCTGGACGATAACTATTGTTTGTCAGTTTTGTGCGACGATCGGCCAAGCCGTTTCTTCATAAATGGCAGAAAAGTGAAAAATTTTTCGTCTACGTTTTAGCCCGCAATTCTGAATCGATTTTGAAAATTCAAAAACCGTTCGAAAGATATTGGTTGGGAATCGTGCTGATTAGTTTTTGGTAGAGATCGGCCGGGCCGTTTTCTTGTAATAAAGTTTTTAAAAAAAAAATTTCGACGATTTTTATGATTATTTTTTGACGATAGATACCATAGTCTTCTAGATCATACTAAAATATTACGGCCCTACGACAACTCGTTTAGCTTTAAAAATTCGTCGAAGTTTCCAAAAATTGGTATCGTTTTTTTGGCATTTGTCAAAATTAGACCTTTCATCGACGTTTGCTCAAAAACGCCTGAACCGATTTCAGAAATTTAAAAGCCATTTGATGTATTTCGGTGAGGACTATCGTTTGTCAGTTTTGTGCAACGATCTGCCAAGCCGTTTCTTTGTAATTTGAAAAAAACTTTTCGTCCACATTTAAGCTCATCCTACCGAACGATTTTAAAAAATCAAAAACTGTTCGAAAGATATTAGTTGGGAATGATACTGATTAATTTTAGGTGAAAATCTACCGAGCCGTTTTCTTGTAATTAACTGTTGAAAAAAAGTGTTAAATTTTCGTCGACATTTAAGCTCATCCTACCGAACCGATTTTAAAATATCAAAAACTGTTCGAAAGATATTAGTTGGGAATGATACTGATTAGTTTTAGGTGAAAATCTACCGAGCCGTTTTCTTGTAATTAACTGTTGAAAAAAAGTGTTAAATTTTCGTCGACATTTAAGCTCATCCTACCGAACCGATTTTAAAAAATCAAAAACTGTTCGAAAGATATTAGTTGGGAATGATACTGATTAATTTTAGGTGAAAATCTACCGAGCCGTTTTCTTGTAATTAACTGTTGAAAAAAAGTGTTAAATTTTCGTCGACATTTAAGCTCATCCTACCGAACCGATTTTAAAAATCAAAAACTGTTCGAAAGATATTAGTTGGGAATGATACTGATTAATTTTAGGTGAAAATCTACCGAGCTGTTTTCTTGTAATTAACTGTTGAAAAAAAGTGTTAAATTTTCGTCGACATTTAAGCTTATCCTACCGAACCGATTTTAAAATATCAAAAACTGTTCGAAAGATATTAGTTGGGAATGATACTGATTAATTTTAGGTGAAAATCTACCGAGCCGTTTTCTTGTAATTAACTGTTGAAAAAAAAATTTAAGCCGATTTTCATGGAAATTTTTTGGCGATATACATCATGGTCTTATAGAACTTACTGTAATATTACGGCCTAACGACAAGTAGTTTAATTTTAAAATTCGTCAAAGTTTGCTAAAATTATTATCGTTTTTTTTTAAAGTAGGATTAATGAAGTATATTATTTACACATTTTTTTTTGATTAAGTCGATTATTTACACATTTCGGGAAGTTCATGTAACTTGCCTCAAGGCTAAATACCAAACCAACTAGTTTCTGAGGTATTCCAAAATGTTCAGAATACGTTCATCTATTTTCTCTGAGGTATTCCAAAATGTTCAGAAACCTTTGAAAGGTAAATATACAAAAATACAGAAATGTTCATTTTCGATTTTTTCTCAATTACTATAAACTTATCTGTCAGGAAGTTAAAAATAATGGAAATGATGTAAAATGAATTTTTTGGTTTTATTCTTAATGGATATAAAAATATATATGGAACACAAATAATGTCAAAACAGTACTTTTTTGTAAGTATTATAAAACTAGAACTTTACAATATTATGTGTTATTAGATCTCTATTCGGGGTCTTTCGTACATATCGATATTAAATCACATCAATATTGTTGATACTCAATTTCAAATTTTTTAACTTCCCGTGGGGTAAGTTCAAAAAGTCGAAAAAAATCGAAATTGAAAATTTTTGCTTACCTTTACCTTAAAAACAAAGCTTTCTGAACATTTTGGCATACCTTAGTCTTAGACAAGATTTTTTTCTTTTTAGACAAGATGGATGTGTGTATGTATGTGCGTATGTGGGTATGTACGTAGTATATATGTATGTGCGGATACAATTTTTCTTCGACGATACGAGAGCACGGTCAACTAATTTGAATGATTCACAAAACATTCGAATCTTATTGTTGGGGAGACGTGCTGATTAGTTTTTTTGGCAAAGGCAGGTTCAACCGTTTCGAAGGTACTGGACAAAAAGTGCAAAATATATTTTTTTATAATATTATTATACACAAAGATTTACTACTGTCCTTATGGATATTCAGTAAATATAATGGC